CACAGCTACATCTCTGACATTTCAAAGAAAGGCAATGAGGACAGACTACTTCTGGGGTTGTTTCATTATATCCATTTAATAATTTATGTGTTCAGGCTTTGCTATTTTTTTTTCTTCCCTGTAAGAATTCATAATATTCTCATTGTGTTTCATCTTTGACATGATTTGCTGTGTTGGCTCCTTACTCTGACATATTGGATTGGATTAATGCTGTGCAGCTTTCATGTGAGGGGTTTGACATCCATGTCACATCATCCACAATGGACAAAAGGAATTGTAACAGCAGAGAGGGACTGAAACACATTGTCGTTCCATCCTTTTTCTATACACTGCTTCATCCTCTGTAGGGTCACTGGGGGGGCTTGACTCCCAGCTGACTTAGGGCGAAGGCAGGGTACACAGACAATCAAGCACACTCACATTCCCACCTACAGACAATTTAGAATCCACAATTAACCTCAGCATGTCTTTGGACTGTGAGAACCCAGTAAGAACATGCAAACTCCACACAGAAAGACCCCAGGCCGAGATTGAACCCAGGAATGAATTAAACTACTGTGATACATTGCATGTGACTGTAGATGAGGTATAAGTGATAGATAGCTCTTTGAGTTAAAGAGAAGGTCAGAAGAATCTACTAGGTTCATCATGATTGTGATCATGTATTTGGTATGTATGTATGTATGTATGTATGTAAGTTTATTAGGACCACTTCAGAAGTTTAGAGATGGATTTTTGAGCCCTTATATTGTTGATAAAATGTTGTGGTCCTGTTGATATCTTCTCTTTTGCTCCCTTTTCTTTCCTATGCTCCCCACTCCCTGGTGTTTGGTCTTGAGGTGTGTGTGTGTGTGTGTGTGTGTTTGTGTGCGCATTTGTGCTTGTGTATCAGACACACATTCATCAGCCAATCAGCCACCTGCAGAATACAAACCCAAATTCAACTCTCCATTCTCACCAGTACATTCTTGTTTTGCATCCCCATGGCAAAGCAAGTTCTGCTCCGTGTTTGTGATTCTCTGTTTACCTGTTTTGCTGGCTTAATCCTGCTATCTCCTGAGCCTCAGTTTCTAACTTCACGTCACCAGCCAACCCCACCTCGACTTCCACTGAAGTCAAATACCAGGGAAAGCACCTGTAGCTCCAGACCTCTAATATCAGCGTCCTCAGCCATGTACAGTTAGTCAAGCCTCATGCTCCTCAAAGTTCCCAGTGCTTCTGCCACTAAACGAGCCAACCTACCTGGAAGTAACCTGGATTGTGCATGACTCACTGTGGCCTGTCATCAAGGTTCCCTCCTAGAATTGTCTCCCCAAGTCTCCCTCAGCCCCTTCAGAGACCGTCACAATGAAGCAAACTTTAAAACATTAATGTCTGTATTCTGTGTCCTGATGCTGGTCCCTGATCTGTTTCCTGCCTGCCTTCCCCCAGCCTGCCTGCCCCTCAAATTTAGTTTTTCATCCTGTGAGTATTCCTGTTTTGTTAATATATTCATTCATATTAGTTTTCTTTAAATCCCACTCTGTGTGTTACTTTAGAGTTTTTCCCAGGTTTTTGTACTTTTTTGAATGAAGTCTAGTTTTGCCCTTTCGGTTTCAGCTTAGTTTCCTCTTTTCTAGTTTCAGTTTGATTCTCTTGCCAAAGAAATCCCATTTGTAAACTCCACCTGCCTGTCTGCCTGCTCCTGTGTTTGCACGTGTTCTCTGACATCTGTCAACAAACGCATCAGAATAGAAACATCTTACTGATCCCTGAGGGGAAATTCCTTGCATTACAGTTGCTCCTATTCAAAGTCAGAAATACAAACATTGCTATATATATAAGTAGAAAAGCAAGTCCTACAAAAGAAAATACACATTTAAAAAGTGTGTAAAATGTACATTAAAAAAAAAAAAAAACAACTTCTTAAAATGTAAGTACACTGCTAAAAAAAAAAAAAAATAATGAAGGGAACACCTAAACAACACAATGTAACTCCAAGTCAGTCACACTTCTGCAAAATCAACCTGTCCAGGTAGGAATTGTGATTCAGTTTCACCTGCTGTTGTGCAAATGGAACAGACAACAGGTGGAAATGGGAGGCAACTAGCAAGACAACCCCTATAAAGGAGTGGTTCTGCAGGTGGTGACCACAGACCATGTCTCTGTTCTCATCCTTTCTGGCTGATGTTTGGTCACTTTTGCATTTTGTCAGTGCTCTCAGCCCTAGAGGAAGCATGATGTGGTGTCTACAACCCACAGAAGTTGCTCAGGCAGTGCAGCTCATCCAGGATGGCACATCAGAGTTGTGGCAAGGAGGTCTGTTGAGTCTCTCAGCACAGCGTCCAGAGCATGGATGAGATACCAGGAGACAGGCCAGTACACTAGGAGATGTGGGGGGCCCCACTGGCCCCACTGGTGGCCCGACGTCCACCAGTGGGGCTTGTGCTTACAGCCCAACACCGTGCAGGGCAATTAACATTTGCCAGAGAACACCAAGATTGGCAGCTTCGCCATTGGTGCCCTGTGCTCTTCACGGATGAGAGCAGGTTCACACTGAGCACATGTGATGGACGTGACAGAGTCTGGAGATGCCGTGGAGAACGTTCTGCTGCCGACAACATCCTCCTGCCTGACCGGTTTGGCGGTGGGTCAGTAATGGTGTGCGGAGGGATTTCTTTGGAGGGCCGCACAGCTAGCCAAAGATACCCAGACTGCCATTAGGTACTGGGATAAAATCCTCAGACCCATTGTGAGACCAGATGCTGGAGCAGTGGGCCCTGGGTTCCTTCTGATGCATGACAATGCTAGGCCTCATGTGGCTGAAGTGTGTCAGCAGTTCCTGCATGATGAAGGCATTGATGCTATGGACTGGCCTGCCCGTTCCCCAGACCTGAATCCAATTGAGTACATCTGGGACATCATGTCTCGTTCCATCCACCAACACACCACAGACTGTCCAGGGGTTGACTGATGCTTTCATCCAGGTCTAGGAGGAGATCCCTCAGGAGAACATCCACCACCTCATCAGGAGCATGCCCAGGCATTGTAGGGAGGTCATACAGGCACATGGAGGCCACACACACTACTGAGCCTCATTTTGACTTGTCTTGAGGAATTTCCACTGAAGTTGGATCAGCCTGTAATGTGATTTTCCACTTTTATTTTGAGTATGATTATAAATCCAGACCTCAATAATTTTGATTTACGTTGATCATTTTTGTTATTTTGTTCTCAATGCATTCCACAACTGGAATATTCCTCTCCAGATCTCTCATGTTCTGCTGGAGTTTCCACTGCCTGTATCTTTCCTTACCCTCTTCCACCTTCAGTGCCCCTGTATTGTTCTCACCTCCTCCCTACTGCCAGCTCCGACAGCCTTCTTATTGTTGTTGAGGGTTTTTATGTCCTTAGTTAACCACAGCTTGTTATTTGAGTAAAAATGTACAGTCTCCGCTGGAACAATAGCATCAACACAGACTTTAATGTAGTCTGTGAAGCACTCTGTGAGCCCATCATGTCCTCTCCATGCGGCTCCCAGAGTGCCTGCCAGCCCGTGATCCTGAAACATCCCTCAAGTGTCATACAAGCCTCCTCTGACAGTTCCTCACTGTCCTTGTGTTCGCATGCTGGCTCTTCACTAGAGGAACAGAGCTTTTGTTGAGATGAACTAGAGTGTGTTTTGGCTATGGAGATGAGGTTGACCTTAACCTTTCATCCGAGGTCAAATGGCATATCACCAATATGAGTTCCTGTCTGATTGTAATAAACTGTTTATCTTGATTATTTTCCAAGTTATCATGGGTTTAAAATTTGTGATTAAGACTGTCAGTGAGACTGTGACCTTTGTCAGAAGGTCATATGTTACATAACCAGTTTATAGACCTTGAATGTCTTCCTAAGTTAGTATACTAAACATGTCTTTGTGTATTTTAAAACCTCTATAAAATAGATCAAAAAAGAAATTCCAGAGAACAAGCGATAATATGAAGGCTAATGTTATGACACACAGGTTTAAGTAAAACAATGCACTTTATAGGAAAACAGCCAGCTGCATATGTGACCGTGGTTTAGCCAGGATAGAATTTAAAATCCTGCTTTTAACATATAAAACTTTCAATGATCAAACTCCATTTTATCTTAAAAACCTTATTGTGCCATACTATCCTAACAGAGCCCTTTGCTCTCAGACTGCAGGTCTACTTGTCATTTCCAGCAGTACAATGGGAGGTAGAGCCGTCAGTTATCAGCTCCTCTGTTATGGAATCAGCTCCCAGTTTGGGTTCAGGAGGCAGACACCCTCTACTATTAAGGTTGGATTTAAAAATTTCCTCTTTGATAAAGCTTATAGTTAGCTCAGGATCACCTGAACTGTCCCTTAGTTATTCTGCTATATAGCTTTAGAGTACCAGGGCATTCCAATGATGTACTGAGCTCCTCTCCTCTCTTCCTTCCACACAGTTACAACCACCATTACACCAAAGGTCCTGTGCTTGTTCTCTCTGCAGACATCTCTGGATCACGGCTCTGATCTGCAGCTGCTGGCCTCACTGTTCCTTCCCAGCATTGCCAACCGCTTGCTCAGAGGGAGTCCAAAGGCAGCTTTGAATTGTTGGGTTCTCTGTTTAAATTTGTAAAGTCTGTACCTCACCATGTAAAGCACTGTGTGATGACATATGTTGTTAACTACACTATACAAAACAAATTGACTTGACTTAGATGAAGAAAGTATTTTTTTTTTTTTATCTGTCGATGCCAGAAGTATAAAACACATAGAACCACAGCAATGTGGACTGGAAATATTGAATCCTAAGAATTTATTTTGCATTTAGGATGAAAAATATGAAGCCTTGTTAAAGGAAAATGTAAAGCCTTGAAAGAAACTGGTTTAATGAAACACACAATATACTGATATACACTCATGGAAATAGGGAGCAGTCCAGTAAAGTAGGTGGCAGTAAAGCACCTGAAACACTCTGAGCACAGAGAAGAAGAAGAGGAGGAAGAGGAGGAAGAAGAAGAAGAAGACGACAGATGAGAGCTAGTGGAGGGCAGTGAGCACCCAGACGGACGGGAAGGTGGAATTTGGGTTCTCCGCAGTCGAACAGGTTTGTGTTTAAACACCTATTTATATAAATCAGTTTTGTCATCGTGTGGCAAACCAGGAAAAATGAATTTAAGATTTAGCATCGACGCGCGAGCTTCTCGTAAAAGGATGCGCTCGCGATGCGTTTGTATGTAAAATGATGGTTACGTCGCGTTGAAATGGGAGCTCCAGAGAGCGGTGATGGGTTCGTTCACCGGCCTTCTCTCTCATCCAACAGCCATCTTTTCTACTGTCAGACCACCTTCGTACAGCTCCGACATGAAGGCTGCATCAGTCTATTCGTTGTGTGCTGTGGTGTGTGGGGTTGTGTTGCTGTAGCCGTGATGACACCGGGAGGCTTTTGTTGCTCCGGATGGCGTCCACACATACTGCAGCGCTTCCAGCCGCTCCCATCCGGGTGTGCTGCTCGTTTTATGCTTCAATCATCTCATCCCTCCGAAATACTGAGCAGTGGAATATGTTTAGTATTTCCACGATATTGTTATAAATGCGCTTGAATCCACACCCTCCATGTGTGGTACCGTCATCCTGACAGCAGCACATGATGGCTGTAGGATGTGATTTACTGGAGCCTCCTCCTCCCTCTGTGGCCGCATTCACTTGCTGTTGCCCCCCAGTGACCCCTCTGACATTCATTATATTCTGCAGGCCCCCGGAAACTAGTTGAATGAATTAAACCATTAACTTATTCATTCATTTGACATGTGTGAGAAAATAAAGTCGTTTTTAAAGCATTTATGCTCCAAATTAGAGCTGCAGGATATTAAAACCAGCAACCTGACTTGACAGGATTTAGTTTTTTTAGCAGTGTGTAGTGTGATGTAACAGAAATACACCAGATGACTTGAATAATCATTTGGGGAACAATCAGTCGCTCTCATATGATTGAGGTGGTTTTGTAGGAAAGTGCATCTGCATATAAAAATAAAGGCATCCAAAGCAGTGCTTTTCTTTGGATGGCATTCGTGTCTGGCGTTGCACTCATCATACTGATTTAAATATTCAGAGAAGTTCGTCATGTTCCATTACATTGTGGCGACAATTGCAAAACAATTTATTTTTGGGCAGCATTCATCTTTCTGTTGCTAAAATAATTCCTGACTACAGCTGCATGATTTTGGCCAGAATGATCATCATTATTTTGATCAATATTGTGCTTACGCTAAGTTCTAATTTTAACAATCATCTCATTTTCAGCTTTAAATAAACAGTGCTGCTTTTGACTTTGCTATTTGGGAAACCTTATTGATCTCTCCCTGGGGAAATACATGTCATTACAGCAGCTATGAGGCATGGAAGAAGAAAAACATTAAATACAAAAGTACAGTAGTATTTAAATGTGTTGTTGCACTGGAAGAGATATAGAAATACAACATGATGAAGACTGTTGTACCTGAGAAAACGGTGTTATATTATTGCACATAAAAGAGTTATGAAGACAACTTGTGTTGCATGATGGTATTGCACTTTGCAGTCTATAAGGAGCACAGGTTTGCAATATGTAGTTGCACACGAGTAGAAGTTACACTTCTTGGACATGTTAAACTGCAGAAGGCGTTCCTTCTTTTTGGGTGTAACAGCCTGTTGCTGAAGGAGCTGTTATGGTCGCCACAGTGTCATGCAGGGGGTGAGAGGTGTTGTCCATGATGGATGTCAGTTTGTCTAACATCCTCCTGTCAGTCAGTTCTTCGATGGAGTGAACTGGAACATTCTACCAAGGCTGACTCAAAACAGCCAAGGAAAATGAGCAGAAAAGTCTTCAAATTAATATTCAAGACCGTCAGAGTCTAGTTCAAAAAGGTTTAGTTTGTCAAAAGGCAGCAACTGACAGCTCAAACCATGAGTTAGTTTCAGGACTGACCTATCCAGTCTTCTCTCGGACCACTGTGTCTATTGTCTTTGGGGTTTCTCCTGTACCCAGGATTTCCCTCCCCTTTCTTTAGAAATACTATACTAGGACTGAAATTAAAGGTGTCAACATTGTCGTTGTCTCTGCCCTCAGCTGGGAGGTCTTTTGGCAAATTCTGTCATGACTCAGCACATTTTCAGTTTTTTCTAAGTCTGCTGACTGTGACACCATTTTGCAGTTGTGTCAGCCCACATTACTACTGCATAGGGAGCATCACTCCTCTACTGAGCAGCATTACTACACAGGAGTCCAAAGGACAGTCCAGTACAGAACTGACCCTCATGATCAGTTTGTTGAGTCTCCTTCTGTCCCTGTCGGTGTTCCCACGTCTGCAGCAGACAACTGCATAGAAAAGAAGGTCTCTGACAGTGTCATGCCCACTGCAGAGCACCTCAGTCTTCTCAGCAGATTGGAGACTACTCTGGGCTTTCTTGTGCAGGACCATAGTGTTGTGAGACCAGTCCAGTTTATTGTTGAGGTGAACACTCAGGTACTTGTATTCTCCCACCATCTCAATGTTCAGTCCCTGGGTGTTTATTGTTATAATCTAGGGCGATTTGCTGCATAAGTCTATCACCAGTCCTTTGTCTTGCTGGTGTTTAAGTGGAGATGGATCACCTTACACCAGTTGACAAAGTCCTTGATGACCTCCCTGTACTCCTGTTCATTCCCTTCTAAAACAAAGACTGTGATTAATATTTCATTAACTGTGCCACCCTATAGCTAATGTTGTTCCTTTTTGAAACCAGTTCTTTACACTTTTAGTAATCAAGGGATCATGAATCACAAAAAGTAACAGAAATACTTCCATTGTGAAGGAATGTACAAATTTATCGTCTTAGAATGTGCATGGTTACGCAGTATGTAATGTAAACTACATGAAATGTGCAAAAGGATAATAACAGTCCTATTTTAAGCTGTATGTTCATCTAGTGCATAGAGGCAGTGTCTATAGAGTCGGGCTGGGCCATATCATACCATGCACAGTAATAAAGGTGTAATGTTAGGGGATGATATGAAATTGAAATATTGCGATAAAATTTGAGTGAAACGTGCATGCACAGTTTTCATATGGTCTAATGCATAGCATGTCAGGCATGTCAGCGACTGAGGAGGAGGGTGAATACAGTGCAGCGACCAACATAGATGAACTAGAATTGGTATGCAAAAAGATGCAACCTCCGTGGTGTGGAACTGGTTTGGTTGTCGCCCGTCAGATACACGGTAGAGCACCATTTTTTGCAAAACATGCAGGTGGACCATTGTGGCGAAGGGAGGAAACACGACAAACTTGTTTCACCATTTGAAGCAAAAGCACTTGTTGGAGTACAACAAGGCTGTAAATGCATGTGAGGAGGCGTCTGCTTCAGCTGACGTGGTGGTGAGACACTGACTCGGCAAACAATTAGCATAGCTTTAAATAGCAGCACACCGAGGAAAAAAGTAGCAAACGCTGGGGGGACCGAACTAATGCAGTGACACGTTGTTTGGCCACAGATATGATGCCCATTCAGAGTGTCGAAAGAGAAGGGCTTACAAAGATGCTCAAAACATTTGATCCCTGCTACAGGCTGCCCCCCAAGAAGTACTTCTTGAAAGTTGCCTTGCTGGCATTATATGAAGAAGTCTGTACTGATGGGTCAAACGTACTGTCATCAGTGACGTTTTTTGCATCCACCACGGACATGTGGTCAAGCCTCACATCGGACCTGTATATGAGCCTCACGATACGCGACGTGGAAAAAGAAGTTACAAAATAAGTGCCTTGAAACAAGTTTTTTCCTCGAAGACGATACTGGAGACAGTATAGCCAAGGGCTTAAAAGAATTCCTCAACTCATGGAATCTTCCGAAGGAAAAACAAATATGTGTGACGACAGACAGCGGGGCGAATGTTGTGAAAACCATTGCGCTTAACAACTGGACCAGGCTTTCATGCTTCAAACATCACCTCCACATTGCAATAGGTAAGTTAATCATAATGTTAGATGTAGCATTTCTTACATTATTTGAAATCATGGTAGCCTTTACTGTTTTGCATTTTTGTTTAATTTTTGTTAAAATTAACTGCAATCCTGAGGCTGGATGTGGTCAGTTGTGATTTAGTCCTTTTGTAGCCTCTGTTTGGTTATTCTTATTTATGTTTAATTGTTTTAGTTAATATATATACATATTATCAATTAATATGTATTGTGCTTCATTCTGCATTATAATATATATGTTAATTAAATGTGTCACATTCAAAACTGTATTAATATTTGCTGTAAATAATAAACTGTTGCTTTTTTTCATTTGTGTCTTAAAGAAAGAAGCATGAAGGACTAGAGGATTGAAAGCGCAGTAGGAGTGGGCAAGAAGATTGTCACTGCTTTTGGCCACAGCTGGAAGCGCCAGCGAGCTCTCCAGGCTGCCCAAAAAGAACCGGGCCTACCAGAACACAAACTCACAACTGAATGTTGCACTGGTTGGGGTTCAAGGCGAAGAATGATCCAGTGACTCTCTGAACAAGAAAAGGCTGTAGCACAGGTTTTAGCTGCTGATAGAACAACAAGCCACCTCATGTTGACATGGCAAGAGATAGAGGTGCTTGACTCAGTCAGTACTGTGTTGAGTTGGCTTCTAGAGTTCACAGAAGCATTTCTGCTGAAGAATATGTGACCATTTGATGTTTTAAGCCTGTTCTTTAGGTTTTCAACAATGACCTGTTAAAAGTAAAACAGAGTGACACTCAGCTGACATCAAAACAGCAAAACTTGACTACATGAACAAAAACTACACAGACAGTAACACAGAGCCTTGTTAATATGGCTTCTCTCCTTGATCGACGTTTTCGTGCAGAATATCTCAGTGAGAGTGAAGCCATCAAAGTCCAAGCTATTAGTGAACTGGAGCATCTTGTGTCAGACCAGGGTAGCACAGGGCCAGGAGATTCAGAGACCCCTCCTCCGTCCTCAGGAGACCAAGATAAGTCAGGGAGCTGCTAAAAAGTCAAAGAAGAGCCTCGGAAGCTTTTTGGAGGGATCAGTTAGGGACAAAATGGATGTAACTGCAGAAGGGTTATTATCTGACTTGAGCAGCTATGTGAATAGTCCACCAGCAGACACTGATGTGTTAGACAGTTCACACAGTAAACTTTCCCCACATCAGCAGATTAGCCAGAAAACATCTCTGCATTCCAGCTCTGCATCTGAAAGGTTGTTCAGCACAGGTGGAAACGTAGTAACTTGTCAAAGGTCATCCCTTAAGCCCACAACTGTGAACATGTTGGTGTTTCTGACAAAGAATCTTAAAACTTGAATAAATGTAGACAACCATCTACCTCCATGCCCAATAGCATTATTCATCCACATGTTATTTTTAGGTTTACTCAAGGGTTCGTGCAATTGTATTATTTGACTTGTTTATTTTGCACATTGAAGTTTTATGTTGCAAAGCAACTCTAATTCACTTTTGTGGAAAATAAATTGTTCTTTTTGTTATTTGCAACAATAAAGTTGTGCAGTTCTGAAGTATTTTGTCTAGCGTCAGTTATATCGTCCGTTACATTGTTATCGCAAATTTTCTCATTCATATCGTGATAAATATTTGTGGCTATATCACCCGGCCCTACTATAGCGGCGGTGTCACTGGGGGTCTCTGGCTGTGTTGAAGAGGCCCACTGCTGTTGGAAAAAATGTTGTTCCTGTGGTGTGAAGTTGTGGTCCTGATGGACTGCAACCTCCTGCCAGAGTGGAGGGGCTCGAACAGTTTGTGTCCAGGGTAGGAGGGGTTTTCAACAATCTTCCCAGCACGCTAAAGGGTCCTGGAGGTGTACAAGTCCTGGGGGGGTCGGGAATTTACAGCCGATCACCTTTCTGGTTGAGGAGATGATACAGGGCTTCACACTTTTTCACTGGTGGGGGGTGTCTGACCAGCTTTCTCAGTTTGCCGTGGCAAAGAAAAACACTTCACTTGCTGAACTTCTGCTTATCAAAAGACACTACATTTCTCAATGTTCCCTAAAAACCTCACCTGTAGTAGATGCTTCTAGGTGGTTGCAGTGTCCTCATAAAGGTGTGTGAGCAAAAATGACTTGTATGTTCAAATATCAGAGTTTTCCAAGATGAAACCAAATGATTTCATCCTCATGCACAGTTTTCTACTTGAGCAGTATATTTTTAAATGTGAATACCACAGTGAATCGTGTTCATGTAATGGTGGGAGGCTAAAATCAATATTGTGATTCATATTCATTTAATTTTGCAGCCCCACTACTGTGCTAGTTATTGTAACTGAATGTATTGCATTTTTTCCTTCACCAGTTTAGACGGCATCCCTGCACCTGCACTCTGATCATCAGATGTGTCTGAGTTGGGACCTCTCCCTCTCCACTGGTCGCCCCCTATTTCCTCAGTTTTGTTTTTAAAACGTTCATCTACAGACTGCTTTATCGTTAAGATGCCCAACAGCTAATCAGGAGGGGACAGTCTGACAAGGCCACAGAAGAAATAAAAGTCCAACTTTCCACCATTCTGGCAAACGTATTAGCGACTGGCGCTGGTTAGAGCATATCATCATTCACTTGTACGAATGCAACCATTTGAAACTTCGCACATTCTCGAAAAAAAAAGGTTGCATATGTGACCATTTTTGTCACAGTATGGAGCCCTGTGAACCTGGGGTGTGTAGTTGTGTCGTTGCCCAGGCTCCTGATGAGGTGGGAGGAGGAGCTGCTGGGCTGGAGCTGGTGGCTGAGGTTGCTGGGGGTGGGTTCAGGCCTGTCCCATTGTCTTTCAGAGCTACAGCAGGACTTTTTTAGGCCATTGGCCAGGCACCCATTGTTAATTGGTGGGGGCTTTTGGTTTATAGTTGGTGATCTGTCTGAGCCTCCTTCAGACAGAGGGAGAGTTGTTGGTTGAGAAATGGTGTTGAAGCTTCTTAGGGTATGATTGTGTAACCTCTCTCACTGTCTTGTTATACCTGTTCTTCCGTTCCTTAAACCCACCTCTGTGTCAACTTCAAAATGCCCCCTTCTTCTACAACCTAAACTGTTTGAGTTTAGCTGTGATCCAGGGTCTGTTATTGTTATAACTGGCATGATGGTACACATCAGTGCTCACAGGAGCAGATGTAGGGCGTCACAGCTTCTGTGTGTCCATCCTGGTAGGTGGTAGCAGTCCTATATACATCCCAGTCAGTCCAGTCCAAACATGCCTTCCTCCACAGCCTCACTGGTCCACTGCTTTGATGTTCTCACAACAGGCTTAGAGAATTAAACTTTCTGCCTGTATGTGGGAATCAGATGAACCATGACTTGGTCAGAGTTACCCAGTGCAGCGTGGGGGACAGGTGGTAGGGCCTGCTCCCTGTAGTGTAGCAGTGATCCAGAATGTTCTCTTCTCTGGTAGACCATTAAACAAACTGTCTGTATTTAGGGAGTTCATGAGAGAGATTACCTTTTGTTAAAGTCACTGTGGACAATAACTGAGGTATCGGGGTGTGTCCGCTCAATACACAGTTTCTGGTCACACACTGTGCCTCCTGCACGTTGGCCTGCAGTGGAATGTAAACGCCACCCAGTATGAATAGGGCAACCTCATGTGGGGATTAGAAAGGTTTGAAGTTGTTTTAAAAATAAAGTAAAATTAAATTTAAAAATTCTGGATTTGGAGAGAAGTATCTCTGAATCACTGTCACATCATTACATCAGCCACTGTTGGTACAAAAACTGATTCCTCCGTCCCTACTTTCCCCAGAAAGTTCTGAGTGGTCATCTGCTCTGAAGAGTTGGAAGCCTGCCAGGTGTAGCGCAGTCTGGTATCGATCCACACAGCCACGTTTCTGTGAAGCATTAATCAGGAGCTGAAGAAAATTCTCTGTTCTTGGGTACTAGCTGCTGATGTTCAGTCCAGTGTGTTGCACAGTGTACTAACGTTGGAGATAAATATCCATGGAAGCACAGTGCGTAAACCGTGTTTACCTTTTCTCCAACTTTTAATAAATCCACTGGTGTTGTTTCTCTGAAGTTTAGCAGTGCTTCCCTGGTGAAAGGGCTCCGGGTAAGGTAACGAAACACAGAGAAATGCAGAGGCAGGCATCCGCGGTGCCATTTTGACGTGCTCAGTTCTGCATCTTGGTGGGATGATGCGCTGGCTGAAAGAGCTGCCCATCTGCCACAGCTCATCTTGGAGAGGGTGAGAGGGGTTATCCAGGATGGCTTTGATTTTGTCCTTCACCCTCCTCTCAGCCACTGACTGCAGACTGTTCAGTTCAAGCCCCACCACAGAGCAGGCCTTCCTCACTGGTTTGTTGAGTCTGCTGGCCTCACCTACATTGAGGCTGGTGAAATGTGACTTGTTCGGCAAGGACAGTTAGAAACCGACTTCTTGAAGCTGGTCTGAAGTCACACAGGGCACGGAAGAAGTTGTTTAGTGTCTTATCCCAGAAATGCTTTCTGCAAAACTTGCTGGTTGAATAATCCTGAAGAAACTCTCTCTCATCTTGCCTGTACTACTGTGTATGTACAGCACTATGACAATAAACCTGATTTGATTTGATTTGAATAAATAAGTCAGTCACTAAGTATCACCCTATTCTGGAAGGTCTGCCATTTCTTGGTTATCATTCTGTATCCCAAATGGAAGACATAAGACAACTCCTGTATGCCTCCATGTGCCATCTTGGTCTTTCAATTTTGATGTGTGTTTGTGGTCGTTGTCTTGCTGAAACACTAATCGGTGTCCAAGACCCAACCTTCTGACTGAGGTTTTTTGGTTTTCCTGAAGAATGTGGAGGTAATCCTCCTCATTCATTATTCCATTTACTTTGTGTAAAGCTCCAGTTCCACTGGCAGCAGAACAGCCGCAGAACATAATCGTACCATCAGGTAGGTATAGAGATAAAAACTAAAGCCCCAGTCAGGAAGAACGGGTATCATGAAGGAGGTTATTAACTTTCTTTGTTAACTCAGGCCTTCTGCTTCAGACTCTGTGCGTGATCACATGAAACGCATTGTATGACTCATCAGCATCAACCATGAACAAATACATGTATCTGTTTGAGTAAAACATTTTCATGCCTTGTCATATATTAAATGATAATCTGATGTACTTTTGTGAGCAAGACTTTAGTGGAAAATTTATGCTCATGATCATTGTAGAAACTGATGGGATTAAAATGAGTGAACTGGGGTTACAAAGGAAGGTTTTATTTTCAGTACACAGTGTATTTCATTGTATGCAGGTATTGGGGCTTGAATTGAAAGACAATTTAGATGCTGCCTAAAAACACCACTTTTTTGTGTGTTTTAAAAAAAAAAAAGATTTCTTGAGTATTACATTTATTCAGTCATCGTTTATGTACATCCATGATACAAAGCAAAGAGAAAATTTGATGTACTTCATTTTCCAAAGTTTAAATAAATACAAAGCAGAGCTCATGTTGCAGTCCACAGTAAACTCACTGTATCCACTGAAATTCCCGGCATGGGTCTTAGGCATTTTCGTGAGCATGGCCCCTCATTGTTTGTGTTTAGTATAATTGTTCTGCTCTCAGTTACAAGTCTAACTCAGATTCTGTCTTTTCTCCACCTTTCATCAGTCAGGATATGTCTGTAAGGATGGAAATGGATATCAGTGGAGTTTCCAGGGCACAGGTCTCCATTCTTCCTGCAGCTGAAATCAAAGCCACATTGAAACCAGAAGGAGAGAGACCTCGCTGTGCCAGCACCCCATGTTCCCCAATCAGAGGCACTGTGGCAGGATACCAGATCCTACACATGGACTCAAACTATTTGGTTGGTTTCACTACTGGTGAGGAGCTGCTAAAACTGGCCCACAAGTGGTCAGAAGGACCTCCAGCGAAGAGCTCAACATCAGAGGCCGTGTCCACCTCGATTCAGAGCACTGTCCCCAAATCTGTGGACTTGGGCATCCACCGGTCTTCACGAATCTTCAAAGCCAGAGGTCTCTACTACCAGCCCTACGACATTCCTGCTGCCAGTGGGCGGAGACGAAAACGTATGCCCAGCTCCAGTGACACCTTCCTCAGGTCCCTGGCACATGCTGAGCCTGGGCGGGGTCTGCATACCCCACTACCCCTTTGTCTGCTTAAAGGAAAAGGGGCCCAGTCAAAGTCTCTTGACTACCTTAATCTGGACAAAATAAGTATCAAAGAGTCGTCAGACACTGAAGTGTTACAGTACCAACTACAACACCTCACCTTGCGAGGGGAGCGTGTGTTTACCAGAAACAAGACATAAAAGCACAGTGGAAGGCTTTTTTTAGTCGTCTTTCACCCTCTTGGGGATTTAGGTGCTATTTCCAGCTTGGTTTCTTATGACTCGGATTATAACAGTCCTTTAAGAAGACCATCTTATAATCTTGTTATATTATTACTTTAGGGGTTTACCTTGTACTGTACACATATGTTGTGAGGTTGTTGAGGTTAAAAATGTGAATTATATAAACTTAGCAATAACTGGTGAACATATTGACAGTGTTGTATGTTTCCTCAGGTCAGATACGCACTGATATATCAGCTGACAGCTGACAAAAGCACATATCACATACTGTATCAGCTTTAAAATGCACCATTGGTATCAGTCCAGTAATAGATTTACTATTTTACTGTGGGGAGTTGTTGTTGTGACGTTTTGTGATATTTCTTTTCAAAGGGTATGGAACTGCATATAACTGACAAAATAACAAGACGATGCTTACCTATGTTGCTAATTTATATATATATTATATTGTTTAATTTCTGTCAGTTAGTATTTAAATGCTTTTAAACCTCTTATTTCCCATAAGAGGTGATACTTCATTGAAGCTGTTTGTTGAAAGTAAATGTAAAGTTGCCTCTCTTAACATCTATCATAATACTATACTCACATGTCATCTGTACATTTAAACGGTACTGGTTGCTGTAAGCATTCCTTTTGTCCATACTAGTGCTGAAGTGAGATAACAAAGCCTACTCCTTAAACCTTGATTACACATCATTGCAGATGTGCACACAGACAGCTGCAGACACTGTGGAAGTTGTTAATGTACTACTTTGTAGTCTGCCTACAATCAGCTGGGATGACTTAATTCCAGACATGAACAGTGCCATTGGCTGCTTGTTTCAGGCAACTTTGTCCTTCCCTTGCACTGTCTGTGTTACGGTTTTCTTTGCGACGGGAAACAACAACAACAACAACCCCCAAGCAGCAAAGTACCACACTGAAAGTTTCAAGTGTTGCAGAGGTTTTTGATTGTGGAGTAAGTCAGCCCTGCTAGTTGATTTTTGTGGATTCCTTATTTTAATGACAGTGCTCATCCCTGACATTCCACTCATCGCTATTTTTAGTGACCACTGAAGCCGCATCCCCTGCTAGCCCAGCCCACGGCTGCTGTGATTGGAAGGAAAGGTAATAGCAGTGACTGCTTATTTCACTCATGACATGTCTTCTGGCTTATAAAGACACTACATGGACATGTTGACAAGTTTAAAAACTTGGCTCTTAAAGATGTAGCTTAAGCATGTTCAGAGAATGACAATTCACTTGAATTCATGTAATTAACACTATTGCCCCGTTTACAAGTCAGGAGAAGATGTGGAAAGTCCTAAATCCATCCCTGCTATTGTTGTCATCACACCAAAATTTTGACCTCGATGTGATATCTGCCTAAATAAATCGATACTTAAACAATATCACAGAGAAAAGCTAAAGTTTCAGGGAACGTAATAGCATCATTGATGAGAAAACATGAAACTCAAATTATTGTTTATTATTATTTAAGAAGAACCTTCATGCACATTCTTTTGCAGGAATTCATGTTTCTTAAATACCTTGTGGTTGACTTTAAATCCAGGGGAGCCCTATTTACTTGGCCAGTCTGTTCCTGCACAGCTTTTTGAATAAATCACATTATTAACACTATTACAGTAATTAGTATTTTTTCTTTTTTTTTCTTTTTTTCCCCCTTTTTTAAAACAATGTAGACTGTAAGCTGTCTTTAAGAGAGCCTGTACTTGCTCATTTTAGTTTTTAGTGTAATTTCACAAAAAGAAAACTAGTACATACTTGTTTTTGATTCTATTAAAGTAATTATTGCTCAGTGACATAACACAAACCAGAAATATGTTTGGAGGAGACAAATTATTGCAGTAACATGGCAGTACTGCAGAGGAAACAGCTGACAACCAAACTGTAAGACATGGAAGCAACATCACTTCTCCTAGTGTAGCTGACAAAATGTAATGAAAAGATGGGTGCAGGTGTAAAGAATTAACTAAGCCTGACCCAGTTTCTAGACACAAACAAGAGCCTCCGAACAATACCGACGGCTCAGAGCAACGAATAACCATTTTTAAGTGGCTACAGAAAACACAAGATGACAAATAACTACTAACTCACAGACACAAAGCTGTTACAGCATTTACATAAGACACAAAGGCAACAGAGGCGAGCTGCTTACACCACATCACAGGCACCTGGACTGACATTAGCTGCAAGCTTATACCCTGGTGAGGGGATCACAGCAGTTTGTTCGAAGGGGAGAACAGCGTGGTCCAGCCAAGATGGTCGTCGGCAGGAGGAACGAGGTTCGGACTGCAGGACTGGAGCTCCAGGCCAATCAGCCAAGACGACAAGCAGGCGGGGTGTGGATACTGCTCTTCAACCAGCCAGAACAAAGACACACAAACCATCTCCACACCCACTGGCTTATCTGTTCAGTCCCCTTTGCTCTACTGCAGTGTGCAGATGATAATCCTGGTGTGAGCTTCACCAGCATCAAGTGCCAGACTTACACTAAGTCATTAGGGTCCGAGCACACCAGTGCAAGGTCCCTATTGTAACCGTTGTGATTATTATTATCATTATTATTATTATTTATTATTTATTAGGGTCCGAGCACCCAAAAGGGTGCGAAGACCCTATTGGAACTGCTCGGATTATTATTATTATTCGTGCCAAAGACACGCGTTTTTGAGGCCCTAAACA